ATATACACTGCAGTAGAGTAAAAAGAAGTCCCACTGGGAATCTTCATTGATTTACGTAAAGCTTTTGATACAGTTGACCACGACTTTCACCACATAATATTGTCACACTATGGTATAAGAGGGCACTCCCTCAACTGCCTAAAGTCATACCTCAGCAACAGAAGCCAATATGTGTACACAAATGGAGCAAACTCTTCCGCACAGCCAATTACAGTTGGTGTCCCACAGGGAAGTGTCCTTGGCCCTCTTCTCTTTCTCGTTTACATAAATGACCTACCAAATGCATCGCAACTACTCAAACCCACACTATTTGCAGATGACACTACATGCATCTTCTCTCACCCGAGCCCAGTCATGCTAGCCAATACAGTGGACCCCCAACATTCGATGGCATCGACATTCGATAAATCCGACATTCGATAAATCCGACATTCGATGCATTTTAACGCAAAAATTTCGCCTCGACATTCGATGGAAAACCCGACATTTGATACGATTCGTAAGAGACGTGTCCACGTGTGGCCTGAACTGCCCCGTGTGTGCCAGTGTTTACAAGCCAGCCAGTGTGCGCGCATCTAGTGATACATTCGGTACATTCCATATTATCCATATTATCACTGTTTTTGGTGCTTGTTTCTGCAAAATAAGTAATCATGGGCCCCAAGAAAGCTTCTAGTGCCAACCCTTCGAGAAAAAAGGTGCTAATGACTACTGAAATGAAGAAAGAGATAATTGCAAAGTACGAAAGTGGAGTGCGTGTGTCGGAGTGCATGATGATTTGGTAAAGAAATTGCCTGCAACTAGTGGTGATGTGAGTGAAGTTAAGGCCAGCAAAGGTTGGTTTGAAAGATTTAAGAATCGTAGTGGCATACTCAGTGTGGTAAGGCATGGTGAGGCTGCTAGTTCAAGTCCTAATGGAAGGGGATTCCCCTTCTAAACACTAACACCATCCATACTCTCCCCTCCTCCCATCCCATCAATCATCACCAGATCTTCATTAAAGATAAGTGTCAATTATTCTATTGTTATTAATCTATTGTTACTGTAATTATTCTACTGCATTAAACTTAATATTTCATGTGGTAAAAATTTTTTTTTCATACTTTTGGGTGTCTTGCACGGATTAATTTGATTTCCATTATTTCTTATGGGGAAATTAATTCGACTTTCGATATTTTCGACATTCAATAGCTCTCAGGAACGGATTAGTATCGAATGTCGAGGGTCCACTGTACTGTGAATACTGAATTACAGAAAATATCTACCTGGATGAGGACTAACAAACTTCCTCTCAACATTGATAAGACCTACTTCATTCAGTTTGGTAACAGAGCAACAGATGTCCCTCTTAACATAATGATAAACGGATCACCTATCACAAAGCTCACAGAGGGAAAATTCTTAGGAATCCACCTTGATAATAGACTCAAATTTCAAACACATATACAACAAATATCCAAGACTGTAGGCATACTATTGAAGATATGGTACTATGTTCCACCGTCAGCCCTCCTGGCCCTATATCACTCATTTATTTACCCCTATCTCACCTATGGAATTTGTGCATGGGGCTCAACAATAAACCATCTCAGACCATTAATTACCCAACAAAAGGCTGCAGTCAGAATGATAACAAATTCTCACTACAGGCAGCACACTCCACCAATATTCAAAACTCTAAACCTACTCACCATACAAAACATCCATACTTATTATTGTACCTACTACATACATAGAACACTTAACTTGGATATAAACCCTCCCCTCAAACATCTCCTTACCAACCTCAACAGAACACATGACCATAACACAAGACACAGATCACTCTTTTGATATTCCTCATGTCCATCTCACACTATGCAAAAACTCAATGCACATAAAAGGCCCAAAAATCTGGAATTCACTACCTGTGAATATATAAGAAACACTGTTTATAAATTCAAGTCTCTTCTTAAAAATCACTTACTCACCCACAACCAAATAAATACTGAATAATTGTATCTCATAAATATTTAACCTGTGACCCAATCAAACTTTGTTATTTTTAATTACATTACCTAACAGAATACTCCATTCTACTGAATGCACAGCGACACAGTAAATGACCATATGACGTCTTTGAAATACTCATTTGTGCTTAACTGTTAACTGTTTACAACAATGTTTACCACTGAATATATCATTGCTTAGTTAATCTTAAGTTAATTTTAAGCCTGCCCATAATGCTCTGCATACAAGGGCGTTGGCATGTTACACTTAACCACTGTATTTCCTTGTGCTTCTATGTATCATGTTCAAATTAATAAATAAATGGCTGTAACATTTATGGGATATTTAATAAGTCCTTTTAACAATAATAGTAAAGATATTGGCAGACGGAAAACTTTCAATATTTTCAGGGAGCGAGTTTCAATTTTCAATTTTTGCGCGTCCTCGTTCGTCGGACACAATCTCTCCTCCTGCGCTTCTTGCAGAGCCCAGGTTGGAGCATCTCCCTTCAGTGGGTTCCCGCCCATGTTGGAATCTGAGGTAATGAAGTGGCAGATCGGGCATCCTCCCTCGCGCACACACTTCCTACTGTTACCCCTCTTGCCCTGGCCACAGTGATTTCACAAGGGCTGCTTTGAAGGGAATCCATCATCAGTGGCAGGAGGGCCTTGCACATTCCCTCTCTTCTTCGGCGTTGGGCTCTGTCCAAACTTTTAATGGCCCCTGTCCTTGGGCTCGCCATCCCATCCGCTCGGTGGACGTTGCACTGACTCGCCTTCGAGTCAGGCACTCGCGACTGGCAGCTCATCTATATCGCCTTCGGATGATGGACTCTCCGTACTGCCCGTGGTGTCCCTCACAGCCTGAGACGGTGGAACACTTCCTGCTGTGGTGCCCACGTTATCACTCTGCACGGACCACTCTCCATGCGGCCTTGCGCACACTTGGGGTGCACACTTTCACTCTACCTGTCCTCCTCAATGGGGAGGGGTTTCACCCTCTGGACCGTCAGGAGATATTGGCCTGTACCTGCTCCTTCCTGCTGGCTTCAGGGCGTATCAGAGACATATGATACATAGTTATTAGTCAAGACATTCTTCCACTTTGGTCGATATTCCCTCTCCTAGCACTGGACGGCCGGGCTCGATACGGCGTATGCTGTCAGTGGCCCTGAAACCCAACAGAAGAAGAAGAAGAAGAAGAAGAAGAAGAAGAAGAAGAAGAAGAAGAAGATAAAGCTTTTGAACAGGTTGAGACATACACATGGAATGTCAGAAATACTTGTTCCTTGTATTGTGCCTGTGTGTTTGTTGTAGCTCTCATGATAAGAGTTTAAGCTCTAGGCTAATGTCAGAGTCAAAAGTGCTGTAGACACAGCATACACAGTAGATGTACAAATATTTTATTTGTTAAGCAAATTTAAGCTTTTGAATAAGGTGAGGGAGGTTGCCTCGAGTCTGAATGAGTGATTATTCTGAGAGGTGATTTTTGCTGAGTAGCAACTAGTTTAAGGTGATTAGCTGTTGTTGATCCCCATGCACAGATACCTCAGGTGAGGTGTGGATAGATTAGAGTTAAGTACAAAGTAAGTAGTGATGTTTGGGAGACATGACACCTGAATCTACCTGGAAGGTGTTCCTGGGGTCAACACCCCCACTGTCAGCATAGCTGCTGATCCCCTGTATATGTATATGTTATATGAGTATCATAGTACCATCTATATGTTTTACATAGTTGACCCCTTACTAGGCTCAGTGGCTAGCATGTGTGATGTCACTTGATGCCGCATGCGAGCGTTGGGCTCCCTGCCTCCAACTCACTCCACGCTTAGGTCTACAACAAGGCAACACGGCAGGCTGGGCTCCTCCTCCTCACACTCTGCTAATATAAGTGTTATCAACCAACAAGTGTGTTTAACTCCAACCATCATATCTCCACGAACCCTCTCAACACCACAGCCCAGGCCTTGACCAAGCGTCCCAGTGGATCAAGGCTTGACCAACCAGGCTGTTGCTGGCTGCACACAATCCAACATACAAACCACAACCCAACTGATAGGGCACTGACTTAAGTAAATTTATTTAGATACAGGTACACACAAGTACAATTCTCATGCAAAGTTTAAAATGTGCTAAATTTCCTAGGATAACCCCAAAAAAAGTCAAAGTGACTAATTTCCACTGGGGTCCTTGAACTTTTAATCCAGTTCCTTCTTGAACAGTCTTGGCCCCTGGATACTTATTGTATTCTGTCTTAGTGTACACATGGCACCCTTACCTTTCACTGGGGGTATGTTGCACCATCTGTCTAATCTTTAGCTTTCATAGGGAGTGATTTCTGTGCCCACTGTTATGGAATTTTTTTTATAGAAGTGTTCTGGATGCATGTTGAAATTTTAATTTCTTGTTCAAGTTATTCCCAAGAATTTACCCTAGTCCTGCTTATCAATTGGTGCACTGTTAATCTGACTGTTAATCTTTATGTTTAAATGAACATATAATGTTCCCAAACATTATATGGAAAGTCTTGGTAACACTAAGTCAGTCAGTTGTGATCAATGTTGATGTTTTTGAAAGTTTGGTACATTATTTATACTAGGCCAGTAAAAACCATTTCTGGAGAACAATAAACCCAAAGAGGTCATAAAGCATCTAGGGAATAGGACACAATTGTCCTTGATCGAAAGACTGGGAGAATGGCTCCAACTGCTTGGATCAGGAACCCTTCTTGAGTACAACTCCCTTACCACTCCAGGGAGGTGCCTTGATGACGGCCAGACCTTGTTCCAAGGAACTGGACTTGTCCTCCCCTTCCTTGGATCAATCCTTAATGCCATCCATTCCCCTCACGCTGCATGAACCCCTACGAGTTTAGCGCTACTCCCCCCGCCCACTATTAAAATAAATTAACCCCAAATCTGGGAGACGCTAGAGCGAGACGCCACAGGAGACAATTCTCACTGTTCAACCATCATATTTATGTTGCAGTTAACATTAAGCTGCGCCTCTCACCTCATCCAAGAATTCGTTATACATCTTGAAGGAGTTTCAACAGATGTTGCAACAGTAACAACAACAACAACAGCAGCAGCAGCAGCTAGCGGGTGTGTTGATGATGGTGATGATGTGTGTTGTGCTCCCACGACCAGACTGTCCGCTGATTGGTCACTCACAACTCACTACAGTATCAACCTTCACGCTGATTGGTTAAACTAACTACAGTATCAACATTCACTCTGATTGGTTAAACTAACTACAGTATCAACATTCACTCTGATTGGCTAAACTAACTACAGTATCAACATTTGTACAACTATAAAGCCTCTTATGAGGCTGCAGTTAGAATGATAACAAATTCTCACTACAGGCAGCACACTCCACCAATATTCAAAACACTCAACCTACTCACCATACAAAACATCCATACTTATTACTGCACCTATTACATACATAGAACACTTAACTCTGATATTAACCCTCCCCTCAAACATCTCCTTGCCAACCTCAACAGAACACATGACCATAACACAAGGCACAGATCACTCTTTGATGTTCCTCGTGTCCATCTCACACTATGCAAAAACTCAATGCACATAAAAGGCCCTAAAATCTGGAATTCATTACCTGTAAATATAAAAGAAACACTACCTGTTTATAAATTCAAGTCTCTTCTCAAAGATCACTTACTCACCCAAAACCAAATAAATACTGAATAACTGAACATTATAAATTGTATATCTTAAATTTTTCTCACAATTATATCACATAAATGTTAAACCTAAAACCCAATCTAACTTTATTATTTTTTTAAATACACTACCTAACAGAATACTCCATTCTACTGAATGTACAGCAATGCAAGCAACCATATGACCTGTCTTTGTAATACTCACTTGTGCTTTATAGTTATCTGTTAACAATAATGTTTTATCACTGATTTCATCATTGCTTAGTTAATCTTAAGTTAATTTTAAGCCAGCCCGTAATGCTATGCATAGTATAAGTGCCTTTGGCATGCTGCTCTTACCTGTATTTTTTTGTACCTCTGTATGTATGCTAAAATTACTAAATAAATAAATAAATAAGTAAATAAATAAACAAAATACTCATTTGAACTTCATGTTGTAACTTGTTTACTGTAATTTTTACCACTGAATATATCATTGCTTAGTTAATCTTAAGTTCATTTTAAGCCTGCCCACGATGCTCTGCATACTAGGAGCTTTTGGCATGTACACTCAACCACTGCATTTCTTTTGTACAACTATGTATCATGTCCAAATAATACTAAATAAATAAATTCACTCTCATTGGTTCCACTCCAGTATCAACATTCGTTCTAGTAATAATAATCAAACCATACCACGGATGGGGTTTGAACCCGCGGTAAGAGTGTCTCAAAACTCCAGACTGTCGCGTTAGCCACTGGGCCAGCTAGCTTCAATAAGATTCGTTATTTCTACAAGTACATGTACAAGGTATACAGTTCTAGCTGACATCAGTGACATAGTACTGTACAGAAAGCCCCTTGTTATTACCTGGAGAGAGTTCCGGGGTCAACGCCCCCGCGGCCCGGTCTGTGACCAGGCCTCCTGGTGGATCAGAGCCTGACCAACCAGGCTGTTACTGCTGGCTGCACGCAAACCAACGTACGAGCCACAACCCGGCTGGTCAAGAACCGACTTTAGGTACTTGTCCAGTGCCAGCTTGAAGACTGCCAGGGGTCTGTTGGTAATCCCCCTTATGTATGCTGGGAGGCAGTTGAACAGTCTCGGGCCCCTGACACTTATTGTATGGTCTCTTAACGTGCTAGTGACACCCCTGCTTTTCATTGGGGGGATGTTGCATCGTCTGCCAAGTCTTTTGCTTTCGTAGTGAGTGATTTTCGTGTGCAAGTTCGGTACTAGTCCCTCTAGGATTTTGCAGAGTATTTCCCGCAAATTACGTCAATTTTGTCTCAGGGTGCGACCCATACCAGTCGACTAACACCCAGGCGTCTGGAGTATACCTGGAGAAGGTTCCGGGGGTCAACGCCCCCGAGGCCCGGTCTGTGACCAGGCCTCATGGTAGATCAGTGCCTAATCAACCAGGCTGTTACTATTAGCCGCACGCAACCCGACGTACGAACCATAGCCCGGCTGGTCAGGTACTGACTTAGGTACCTGTCCAGCGTCTCCTTGGAGTCAGCCGGGGATCTACTGGTAATGCCTCTTATGTATGGTGGGAGGCAGTTGAACAGTCTTGGGGCCCTGACGCTTATTGAGTTGTCTCTTATCGTGCTAGTGGCGCCCCTGCTTTTCACTGGGAGGATGCTGCATCATCTGCCGAGTCTTTTGCTTTCATAGGGAGTGATTTTAGTGTGCAAGTTTGGTACTAATCCCTCTAGGATTTTCCAAGTGTATATAATCATGTGCTGAAAATATGTCTCTCCGTGCAACAATAACAAACCATGAATCTAAGTTACTTCACCTTGAGAATAAGATCAACAGCCTTGAACAACAGCTAACATCAACTGGCATGACTGATTTTGGCAAGACCCTCCAATCAGTCATAGCCAGTCACACAGATCAAATAACTTCCCTAAACACGAAGATTGAAGATGCTGTCAAGGACTGGAAAATAAACATGGATACCCAACTGAACAATTATTGTGCTTACCAAGATGACAAGGCAGAGCAAGATAAGCTAGCCGATGCAGTAGTAATTAACAGTCCACTCTTTCATAGTGAATTAAACCATACCAACTGCAAAGCTACAACTCTCCAGATCATACATGACCACCTACAGGTTAATGTGCCAATGTCGGAGATAAAAGAATCACGGTTACTAGGGAACCAAGGGAGAAAAAGTGTTATGTTCAGATTTCACACACAAGACAGAAAAGAAGACCTAATAAGTTCATCTATTAAGCAAAAAAAAGATATATACATAAATGAGTGTCTCACAAGAAAACGACAGAACCTCCTGTACAGAGTGAGAAAACTAAAACGTGAGAATAATGATAAAATTCACCAGTGCTTTGTACGTGATGGACAAATTCTAGTAAGAAAAACAAATGTAGGCCGTGTGTACTACATTACAAATAAAAATGAACTAGCAAACTTCTTCCTTCATGACGCAAACATTACAGAGTCTGACTGATATTAGTGACCAAATCATTGTACTATGTTAGTGTATGTTATTATGCCATTATTGAACTAAAAATAACTAGGAAAAAGACTGGCAATGTTGTTCAGCCCTTTCCTCTAGAAAAAGCAAATGACCTCATAAATGACTGGTCCAAAACATCCGGGCATGAAAACCTTTCATCTCATATTAGAAAAAATTTAGAGAGTACTTCTGAGGAAATGTTGAAATTGATTAATTTTATGAGCCAAAATATTGATGAGAGTGATTGCTTCTTCACCGAGTATGAATTAGATAATGCATTAACTAAAGGTCGATCAACTGCTCCTGGAGAGGATGGTATAACCTATGATATTCTCAGAACACTAAGGCACGTGCCTGATACCCCTTTGTTGGCACTGTATAATCTCAGTTACATTGAGGACGTTCTTCCTACTTCTGGACCAATAGTCTCATTGTGCCTATCCCTAAGCCCCAACAGCCTGATACATTTAGACCGATCTCCTTAACTAGTTGTCTCTGTAAAACCTTTGAAAGAATGATACTTAACAGACTGCACAACAGAATCAGACACCAACTTTTCCCCTATACGGGTTCATGACCGGTAAAAGTGTGCAGAACTGTATTTCCACCTTTCTCACTGCACACACCTCTAGTAGTTTTACCACTTTTCTTGATCTAAAATCTGCATTTGATATTGCGAACAGAACCGTTATACTACATGAACTAGCCAAAATGAACATTGGTGGTAGCTTACTTTGCTGGATAATAGGATACCTGTCAAATACAGTATCCTCTGTCCTTTTACGTCATTCGTCTCTCGACCTGCGGGGAGAGAGGATGCTTCTACAGTTTCTCTTGCACGCCACCTGGTGAGGAAAACATAGCATTAGCACCAAGATGGAGGACCGAATGAACCGGCGCATAAATACTGTCTGCATTGAGCTGGTTAGAGGATCTTTAAGCAGCGCCACGATGAACGTTCTCCTGCCAAGCATTATCAGGGACTGTTATGGCATCCCCAATGAAGAGTTGTATGGTGTGGCATTGAATGGTATGTCAAGGGTCTTCGTGAAGTTCATGAGGGCTGACTTCTACTCTACCATCGTCGACGAATTTCAAGAAAGGAGGATGAGTATCAATTCGGCAGTGGAAGTATGCTTGCATGATGTGTCTAAGTATTTTACTTGGGTGAAGGTACGGAATGTGCCTTTTGAGGCAACAGCATACAGCCTACAAGATGTGTTCAGTGGTTATGGGACTGTGCATTCGGCGAGCATGGGAATGTGGAGGGACGGCCCTTACGAGGGGATGCCGGAAGGATCCTTCACACTGAAAATGACCCTGAGGAGGCCGATACCATCATATGTCACATTGCATAGCCATAGAACACAGGTTTTTGTACACTATGCGGGGCAGAGGAAGACGTGCCGTTTATGTGACTCTTATGAGCACATGGCGGCACAATGCCCCAGGAGACAGGGCCCTAGGCGTCAAGAGAAAGCTTCTGAAGACACGCAATTAGAAGCCGTGGACGTTATGACGGGTGAAGTGGAAAGCCGGGGTAAGGGCCTATGGAGTGAGGAGGTCGACAGAGCAGAGGTGGTTTTGGAGACGTGTGTTACACTACCAGTGGAAACGGGGGAGGAGGGAATATCGCTGTCAGACAGACCGTTAGGTACTACAGATTCAGCTCAGGAAGGGATTTTGGAGGCTGTGCTGAAGGATTTTTTGGAAGAGTCGGAGCATGGTGTGGAAGGTGATGTGAGGTTAGGTGATGTCAAGGTGATGGACGAACAGAAACGGGGTAAGGAAGACTTGAGTGAGGTTCGAATGGAGAGCAATGTGGTGGTGGAGGTCCATCAAGAAGATGTGGTTGAAGAAGATATGTGTGTAAAGGGTAGCTCCCACAAGAGATCAGCGGGGGCATCAGACATGGACAAAGTTCTCACACCAGCGCAAAGGCCTGGGAAGAAGATTTGGGCAGCTGTGGTAGAAACGGCAAGACCGGGAGGAGGGGGGGAAATGGGAAGATCGGCGGGAAGG